CATGTCCCCCATCATCCTTTGTGGGTTTTCTTGAAATAAACAATTTTGAATTTTTCCACTCGACCATTCTGAAATACGTCCAAACTCATACCTGCGCAGGAAAGCTCGCCCCTCCGCGACGTCTAGTCAGCAATTTCTACTCCAACACCACTCCCAACGCTGCAGAACAAAGTGAATTGTTGACTCTGACAAGGAAAAGCAGCGGTGATCACTTATCACTCCAAACGACAAGCTTCTCCTTGCGCCACCAACATTTTTCGGTGCAACAGTTGATGCAAAAGTGACTGAATTTTTGCGTGTAGTTTTTGGATTTTACTGCAAGAGGAATGATGAAACCACGTGCTTCGTGACACAAGAATGCCTGCCAGGTCTCGTAGATCACGGTTCAGCAGTTGTTCCGAGTCACCTTGATCAAGCGCACCTGCACTTACGTGGATCACCCGTCGATCCAGATCGGATCAAGTGCATCTTGATGTCCAGCTCAAGAGCACGCATGTCGTGTTGTACGCCTTCCAGCCGGGACTTTCCCTCAACATGCAGCACACAGACGAGGGCGAGTAGGGTCAAATCACGTTGTTCATGACGTAAGAAATCTGCCATCAGTGCCATGTGGGCGCGCCACATACCCCATGCAACCAGTGTAGGCCGCGCGCTGGTCAACTCCAAGCGACCTTGATGGCATGGACAACGGTCATTCCTTGCTGTTGCAGATTTACGTGGATCATCACTCAGCATGTAAACTACGTAGCCGTAGTTCCTGTTGAACCATGTTCGGGATGAGCGAGGTTAGTGTGAAAAATGCATCCCTGTTCTTACTGTAAGAGGAAATATCTCAAAGAATTCTTGCAAATGCAATACTGCTAGTGCTATAACGATAGTTTCTGAATGTTCTGAGCAGAGCATGCAAGAAATATAATGCATCTTACCTCCTCCCTCATGGTTCGTTTCGAATAGCGCCTCGGGAACGATCGTGATGATGTGCATTGTGTCGTGCACCAGAAAGCATTATGCTACGTCACGATGCACGAGATTTCTTCATTCCTCTTGCAGTAAAATCCAAAAACTACACGCAAAAATTCAGTCACTTTTGCATCAACTGTTGCACCGAATTATGTTGGTAGCGCAAGGAGAAGCTTGTCCTTTGGAGTGACAATTGATCACCGCTGCTTTTCCTTGTCAGAGTCAACAATACACTTTGTTCTGCAGCGTTGGGAGTGGTGTTGGAGTACAAATTGCTGACTAGACGTCGCGGAGGGGCGAGCTTTCCTGCGCAGGTATGAGTTTGGACGTATTTCAGAATGGTCGAGTGGAAAAATTCAAAATTGTTTATTTCAAGAAAACCCAAAAAGGATGATGGGGGACATGTCCTCAGTGCTAGAAGAGGTGTTCTACTATCTGCCGGTGTATAGTGTTTGCTAATTGAGGGCGTTGCTCGCAGTTTTATCAGCGCTTGTAATTTGGCTATTTTCAAGACGATCATTTGTGGCGTCAAGGGATGATTGCCCTCGTCTTCTGGGATGCTGGCGTGGCTAAGTGGTGCTGCCCCAAGAACTCTTCTAAGGTGAGGTAATGTTGACTTGATGGAGTTTTGTTCGTAGCTTGTTCTTGTACGCTGTGCCGTAGCTCGTTTGTAGACCCATAAATCGTGCCAATATTGGGTCAATATAGAGGGGTATGCCAATTTCATGGTTCCCTTCAAAAGATTTTGTGCGGGCTTTGGAATGTCGGTCTACACCCCAAAGCAAACCTACCTGCAAAATTTGAGCGAAATCTGGGAGATCGACTTGCACATATGTTCTAGTTTTCTCAGACATGCTCTCTTTTAAAAGGAATTGCCAGACAGTTCCTGCAGTATAAACTTATGGTCAGAAGGCCAATCTTTCGATACTTTGAAAGAAAACATGGATGGAGCAGGAGCTCCAAAATTTGCTCCTGCCTCCATCGCGTACACAGTTCACGTGGAGGTGTGTGCACGGCGACGGCTTAGGCAGGTACGGGCGATGTGACCTAGCTGGCCACATAGCCTGCACCAGCCTACCTGGCCGTCGTAGATGATGCGGAGCTCGTGGGAACCTTCTGTCGTACGCAGGTACGACGGGATCGAACTGCCTGGTTTGAGTTCAAACGTGGCGAATCGCACACCAGTTGCTGTTTGGGTGCCGTTTGAAAAATTGATTTTGCCGTGTCGTATCTCACCGATAAGCTTTCCGTACGGTGAGAGCGCAGCTGCTAGGACACCGTCTGAGATCCAGATCGGAGCATCGTGGATGTGTAACTGTGTTGTTGGTGCGGAAACGAAGCGTGGTGAAACCCGTTCGCCCTTGCAATCGAAGCCACTGAGCACCAACAATTTGGCTTTTTCATATGACTCAACGGTAAGTCTACATTGACCCCTGCTTGTTGTCTGCATCGAAATGATGCCGGTGATACATTGCTCTTCTAGGAGCTTTATGTAGGCCCCCACGCTTACCTGGGCTTGCGAGGGGAATACAACAGTGTTCTTCTTCAGTGTCGAAGACGAGAGCTGTCACCAGGGCTCCGTATCAGCTCCGTTTCCGGCCATGACGCCTGGCGGTTGTAGTGAATCAGCACTCTAATGCCTGGTTCACACTAGGCCGATTTTCCGGCCGACATGGACTCGTACGAAAAATCCTCAAGATCGGGGCGAACATTGCGTAGTGGGAACTATGTTGTCGTACAGGGTTCCGACAAATCTGCGGCGATTTTCTTGTCGCACTAGTTTTCGGCCAAGTATCGACTGGTCGATATTTCGCCGAAAAGCCGGAAGATTTTTACTGCTTGCACCTGATGGAGCAGGATTCAGACCAATCACGGTAGGCTTTTCACCATGACAGCAAAGAGCGTCGATGTCGAGCTCATGACCTCTTGTACGTTGTACTCTTGATGAAATGTAAAGTCCTACCAAAATTTCATAACCCACATGAACTCTTGCTTTTATGGATAATCGATGCGACTTTATTGCGAGTGAGTCGTTCCCCGTGTGTGAACAGGCCGTCCGACTCAGCCGACACAGTCGGCAGACTCCATGTCGGAGTCGGTGTCGGAGCACCGGCCGGAAAATCGGCCTTGTGTGAACCAGGCTTAAGTGATCTAGTTTGCTACCTGTGCACCCACAGCCATACGGGCTGGGAGCGGACTATTATGCATAAAAAACTACGGAGCTCCAAAAACTGCTTTCGCTCTCCAGCTGGTTGATTTTGTTGTATCCGGGGTGTTATACCGGTTATTATTGTTGTTGTTGTTGTTGTTGTTGTTGTTGTTGTTGTTGTTGTTGTTGTTGTTGTTGTTGTTGTTGTTGTTGTTGTTGTCGTTGTCGTTGTCGTTGTCGTTGTCGTTGTCGTTGTCGTTGTCGTTGTCGTTGTCGTTGTTTTTGTCGTTGTCGTTGTCGTTGTCGTTGTCTTTGTCTTTGTTGTTGTTGTTGTCGTTGTCGTTGTCGTTGTCGTTGTCGTTGTCGTTGTCGTTGTCGTTGTCGTTGTTGTTGCTCTTGTTGTTGTTGTTGTTGCTCTTGTTGTTGTTGTTGTTGTTGTTGTTGTTGTTGTTGTTGTTGTTGTTGTTGTTGTTGTTGTTGTTGTTGTTGTTGTTGTTGTTGTTGTTGTTGTTGTTGTTGTTGTTGTTGTTGTTGTTGTTGTTGTTGTTGTTGTTGTTGTTGCTGCTGCTGCTGCTGCTGCTGCTGCTGCTGCTGCTGCTGCTGCTGCTGCTGCTGCAGCTGTTGTTGTTGTTGTTGTTGTTGTTGTTGTTGTTGTTGTTGTTGTTGTTGTTGTTGTTGTTGTTGTTGTTGTTGTTGTTGTTGTTGTTGTTGTTGTTGTTGTTGTTGTTGTTGTTGATGGTATTGGTGCTGTCGTTGTTTTTTTGGCTTTGCTGCTGTTGTTGGTCATTTTGTGAGAGCTTGGTTCATTCATTTTTCCAGACAATAAAGTAGTCTCGCTCTCCCTCTCCCTGTCTGTCTGTCTTGTTGTCTCTTGAATATTTGAATATTTATTATTGATAGTATTTCCCAAAGGCATAGCCTATCGGGGGGATCTCCTAATAAAGAAAAAGATCATTGATTTATGCAATAGTGAAGCAATTTGTGCAGGCAAATGTATGCTGTTTAAAATGAGCGCGAAATTGTGTCCGAAATTCTGAAACAGAATCTATAGCGGTAATCTTGGGTAGAAGGCAATTCCATAATTTGCCGATTTTATGTAAGAAAAGTGAAGATGAAAATTTCCCATGAGAGTTGAAACAAGCTTGTTTGGTCTGCGTTCACTACGAGGAATATTGATATCAAATGGAATAAGATATGAGGTTGAAAGTGGATGCATTTGAAAAGAATTGTAATAGCGATGATGGTACGTCTGAAATGGAGGGATTCAAGGTTACACATACTATTTAAACTATCTTTCAATTCATATCTTACTGTGTGTCTGTTTGGCTGTTAGTCTCTCTCTGTCTCCCTCTCTCTCTCTCTGTCTATTTATAATTGTCTCTGTCTCTCTCCTTCTCTCTATCTCTCTTTTTATCCATCTATCTATCTATTTCTCCTCTCATGTCACGCATGCGTCACACTTTCATATAATATTTCACGTATAATATTGCAAGAATCACACCCTACGGTACCATTTCTTTCCTTTATTTGCCTCTGTTTGTGAAAACTTGGATCATCCACGTGTCCAGGAAAGGAGGCAGCACAGCTTGTTTATTCTGCTGAAGTAGAAATATAGCAAGGAACATTCGTTGTGACTTAAAGCTTCATTTCCCGGGAAATCATCAGACAACTCATATTGGATGAACGGCCAAGATCCGATTATATAATCGGATCTCGGGTGTTTATTCATTTCTGTTATAACCAACTTCGGCTATACAGAACAACGAATGCTGCATAATTGGGTCCGTTATATCAGGAGTCTACTTTACATGTACATGTACAATGAACATCAGTCTGTTTTCAGAACATCCGGTGTAGTTTCAGTTCTTGTGCTTTGATTCACTCTGTGCAGCAACATGGAAAGCCTGTGCTCAAACCAACACCAGCACTTGGCAAGTCGATTGGACTTTTCAATATGATAGCAAACTCTGGAAGGACGCCAACATATCCTGTCGGTCACTTGGCGGATCACTGGCTACTGTCCAGACAATGGCTCAGCTGACATGTGCTAACTGGACCGCAGAAGGAACATCAGCCACGTGGGTAGGGCTGACTGGTACATGGACCGCCGGAAATTGGAGTGCATGGAAATGGGAAGCTGCATTGTCATCCGTTACGGCACAACTTCGATGGGATTCAAAGTTCCCATTGATTCGACCTGATTACAAATATGGATACTTTGAGCCAGATATTGTCACATTACGGACCTGGGACAAGAACCAATCACTTCGGTACCTCTGTCAACGATATGTGCCTAAAGGTAGGTGTTATTATTATTATTTTGCTTGTTCGTGTTGGCATCAACCTGCATAAAGCAAGTATATAGTCTTCGTTTAAGCTCCCATAAAGGCAGCTCATCCTAAGCGAGAGGGCTAGAGAAAAAGATAACGATAACGAGATACAAAATCCAAAGTAATCCAATGAGTTAAACATACAGTTCAAAACATGAAAAACCCCAAAGAAAAGCAGAGCCGAAGTTACTAATCGGAGTTACGAATGCGTTGGTACTGATTGATCCATTAATTGACAAAGGGGACTTATCCGATAATATTGCAATATAGAAACTGATAGGTAGGTGTATTGTTCGAAAAACTCGGATCACCATCCTCAAACCCAGTTGCGTTTCCGCTGCAAGTTGCAGCTTTATTTTCGGCCATTAGCAATCATCAGGTTTAGGGAAAAAACAAGTAAGGTGGACCAAAACCATGCAACTCAAAGTGAAATTAATTTGGTCGTATAATCGACATGGAGACAACAATTTTATAATAGCAATAAAGAGAACAAATTCTGCAGTCAACGACTTTCCACTGATGAATGTGACAAGAAAATTATTTCTGGTAAACTTTAATGACTTCGTTGTAGTGTGGCGATGACTGCAGAATTTGTTCTCTTTATTGCTATTATAATTTGGTCATGTTGAAGTTTCTGGAGTGGGGCTCGCGCACATTAGGAAGTCTCGACTCTGCACATCTACCAAGACATTTCCCTAAGTCTTCTGAGACGTGTGCTCTAAGGTTGAAAATGCCAGTTTCACAAAACGTGACGCATCACTGTCCACGGGCCGTCTTTATGATGCTTCTAGTACGAAAGCACTCTTATAGGTTTTCTTCTTCTTGTTGTTGATTGAGAGAGGTTTGGGCTTCTAGTGCAGCCATGGATCCGGAAACTAGACTCCTTGGCGTTGTCTGCATCTTGCTCTCCACCGATATCATGACGAGCATGCTTCTATTCCACAAAAGTCTCCCTTGTCTGACGCTGCAGAACCAAATCGTACCTCGTAGAGAACGCACAAGGAAAGATGAGGAAAATAACAGACAGCAGACAATGGAACTGTAACTTAACAAACAACGGAAGCCGGAATATTTCAGAAAAAGTGAGAACACGATGCATCCATGGCAAGATGTGCTTTGGATTTGCACGATTTTTATAATGCCACTTACAATGCTCACACTACTCCATAATGCCAGTTTAAAAGTTGGACTGAGCCAGAATGACTGAAAGTGGCTGAATCAATTCAGCGCTTCATTCGGTGCTTTGAAAACGGCTGACTGCTGAAAACGGCTGATGCCGAAAATCTAGCCGCTTCTGCTGCAACAATGACGTCAAAAAGCGCGTTCTCCGCTGTATGGATGAACCGCGCTTGATGTGACGGGTCGATTAACCGTGAAATACTTCCTAGATAAGCAACCCGGAATCGTACTCCCGCAATAGAGCCCACTCTCAAATAACGCCCTGCCCCTAGGAGCCTGTGGAGCAAAATAAAGCCGTCTCTTGAAATGCCACCAACCAATAGCCTGTGAATCTTTGGTGTTCTTTAGCTAATCAAGCGCCTGAGCAAGAGTGGAGTTCCTTTCTAATACCTTTATACTTGTCCATGCCATTGCACAGGCGGGTTCAGGATCAAAATAGCAGTTCTTGGTGCCATTTATGGAGAGTCACGAACGTTGTTCACAGCATTCTTTAAGCTCCCGTTTCTTTGTTTTATTCTGCTTGATGTAAATGTAACAGCAGTAAAAAAATAGTCCCTTTCTTGAACACTGCCGCAATCTATATGCGAGCATGGTATATTGCTTTTAGATAATTGAACAGAAGCAATGATCCACCTTGTCAGTCTCTGATCTCTACTCCCACTCCAAAATTGGCGGCTTTGATTCACAACTTGTATACGGGGGTCTCACATGAATGTGCCTTAGAATACGTACACTGCTCTACTGTACCCGGTCTCCTACACACACAGTGTACTTGGGGAATCCCACATCTACACAGAAAACATTGGTCTTCAAATTTTCTGACTGTTGAAACTTCAGAGTGTTCAGTATAAACCACTACCCGCCAATAGAAGAATTTCCGACTTGTGGTGCCCCTTACTGTGCTCCATGTGCCACTTCAAACTCGATAATAATATATTTCGAAGGCCCAGCTCTGAAAATAGCCGGAAAATGAATACATGTACGGGGAAAAATATTTTTCACTCACGCAAGCTAGACTTGCAAACAAACGTCAGTTGAAAATTGAAATGGCTGATGGTGACCGCCCTAATAATAAAATTATGTGATATTTCAAGTCAGAGCTGAAGAACCCAATTCCTTGGATGTTCGTCCGTGTGTTTCTGAACCATATGCAATTTTTGTATTGAGGAATCTAATCCAGGTGCCTCGAATGTTTCTATGTTTTTTTTGTTATATCATGGCTGTACCGGAATGCAAACTGTGTTTTTGTGAAGATAACTGGTACGTGTGCTCTGCGAACAATTCTCTTGGACGCTTGGAGATACTTTACAATCCAACGCCTAAGACATATTATGAGGCCACCACCGATTGTGCAGGGAGATTCAGCATTCTGGCCAATATCCAAAGCTTAAACCATGCAGAGTGCGCTAGGTCAGTGCTTGGACCACGAAATGGTCAGTGCAGCAGTTCTTCAAGCGATAATTGCAAGAATGCCTCGTTTGGCTGCAAAGCCAATACATGCAATGTGTGGGTTGCTCTACAACAAACATCTAAAAATTGGACATGGGTGTTACCAGTTCCATCCATACCGAGTAAAATTCAATGGATAAATTCAACAACAGGAGGTAGTGGAGAGCGAAAATGTGGTTACTATTTACCTGAAGAAGAGGGTTTCGGAATCGAATATTGCACAATGAAGCTAAGTTTCTACTGTCAAAGATACACACCAAATGGTAAGGTATACTATGTAGGACTTCATTAGCGTATTGATATTGGTATACCTTTAGTAACATTGGTTTAAGAAATTCATGCCGAATTTCAAGCAACACTCTGCTCATTCATGGACCTACAATATCGTATGCATTCACCGTGTGAAGAAGAAAACAATTCAAAATTATACTTTGGGCAATTGGCAATAAATGTAGTTTCGAATGGGTATTCCACTTTACCCAATCCACTATGTAACTCGGCCTGTGACGTTTACAATGACCACTACTACCATATCACCTCTGTAGTGCTCACCAAGTATTTATCCTTTATACTTGGTCCGGCTCATCGCAATTGTCGCTTATCTATTGCCACTAAGAACAGGAGTTTTTTTACCGCTCTGTGAAATTCCCAGTAGGCATAGTGAGGAAGTATGATACAAGAATACTCTCCGCCACAAGAAAAAAATTTCAGCAATGGAATCAGGTAAAGCGAGTCGAAAAAAGGAAGCAAGGTAAGCAAAATGCACGAAATAAATCCGCAAAGGAGCGCGTTCTTGCACTCACACTCTTAAAGGTCCAGTGTTCATTGAACTCTGCATCACTCGAGCTGCCACGCCGTTACATGAGCTGACATTTGCTGGTGTCTAGCTGCTGGCATAGACGGAGTATCTCTTGCTTTCTTACTCAGGCTGTCGTATGGGAGCAATGGGAAAGGAACAGCTGTGGCTGTCACTTCGGTGCTTGAAGGAACCGTGGGCAGTGTGACCTGTGTGTCTCCACAGCGTGTTTCAACAAAGCCTTCGAGGCATACTGGCCTGACAGCTGTCATTCCGCTCCGAAGGATACGCTGACCTCGACTCTTGTAACGCTGCTGCTAGGTCCGCCAAGCAAGGAACAACAACCGTCGGCCGGGCGCATCGCATCAAAAACACCTTTCTTCTTCAGCATGACGCTCATGCGGGTCGTACTCCTCTTCCGTGCACGTGTGCCTGTCACGCTCTCCAGGATGTCAGTTGCCCCTGCCACAGTTCCGGTCTTCGGGTCGCTGCACGCTTGGCTTTTGGCAACACAGACAGTGAATGGCCAGATTCCCACTTCCCAAAAAAGTCGAACACATCGCGATTCAAAGTGCTAGTCGCGAGCATTTTTCTTTGGTGCCTCCTTTGATCTTGCCATCACAACCTACCAAGCAAAAGTAAGTTAGATATCGTGATCGGACTGGGTTTTACCTGTCAAAAGGTGCCGGTGGGAGATAAGCGACAATTGCGATGAGCCGGACCAAGTACCTGGTACGAAGATGAAAGGAGATTTGCAACACCAAAATGACATAAACACAGTTCAGATAAGTAAACAAAATAAATATAACCAGAATCAGCTGAAGCGACATGTTACGTTTGTAAAGTGGTGATGGACAAAGAAATCAAAGTACTATTATGTCCTCTCTTGTTACGTTTGACATGGAAACTCTCGCCGGTTCCTATTCTTAGTTTATCTTAATCTTTAAACTTCATGTATGTTGTTTCCAGGGTTCTAATTCCGCTTTCCTGATTTAACAAGTTAGGGTATCAACCGGTGGTTTCAAACCGTTTGGCTTGCCTGCCGACCGATAAACTACGCAGTAGCATGACAACAAATAGAGGTTCAATAAAAAATCCTTTTACATTGGCAGTTAAAACGGTCCATACTATGTTTTCTCTCATGTAGCACCCTCCAACATAGCTGTCGATGCCACAGAAACTGAGATCTTCGCACGTTTAGTGCAGCCACAGATACTTCGAGAATGGATATCTGGATTCTGCTTTGTGTACGCGAAAAACAGGACAGCGGCTTTCACAACTTTGGTTTGTGGCACAAGTGAGTCTATGGTTTTGGCAAACCTGAGTGCCAACACGTCGTACCGAGTCCAAGCATTCTATACTACTACGACTGGAATAAACAGCAGCATCTACCAAGAAGTCTACATTTCAACATTGCCGAGAGGTAATACAGTAGATACATTAATGGCAAAGACAAGGACCAAGGAAATACCAGTATATTGTCCACTACCGCCACAATTATTTGACTCGGATGTAAAACAATCAGCTAATGCGATAACATTGCACGACACTGAGCTACCGTACTGACGTTGTACAACTGACTGGTTATTAGCTCTAGCACGTCGGAGATAAGCATTGAATGATTATAGTGTAAATTGTATGTCCTTGGTCCTTTCCTTTAGAAGAAATTTATCCTTGCCTCTTCACCTCAATGTTGGAAACATAATGTTTTTTAGGAAGGGTGCATTCAGTTTTGCAACTAGTAAGTTATATGAAGATGAAAATGGAATAACCTCTCAACTGTCGCCTCGAACATTTTCAAAGCGATCCAAAGAGCGGTTCTTGAGTTATAGCACTCGTAATGTTGGTCCCGGGAAATTTGCACTCAGAGCGCGATGCGAGGGTCAACGACCAGGATATCCCGCCATACGTCATCTATTGAAAAGGCTACACCGATTCAACTTCAAAAGCGGGTTCCGGGAGTCTCTACGAAAAATTCTGATTTTTTTCACAAGTGAAATGGTGGATAGAAATAGATCTCGAGCGTGAGCCTTCCCTGGCTTGCAGCGCTGGACCAGTGCATCCCGTGAAGTCAAGGGTACGATCATTGCGCTCCTCTCGCCAAGGCCTTTCCAGGATGCCCAAGTTCGTGGAATTTGTCCAGTGCAAACTAAAGTTTAATACGTCCAATTTAGGTTCAGGTTTGGCGATTGCGTGGGCTTGTTTATATTTTAGTCGGCCAATAAAGGGTTAAAGTGAAACGCTTGAGTGCGGTAAACGTGCCTCTGCTGAATGCATAAACCTGGGCCACGCAAATTACGGACTATAACATAACATAACATTCAGCTTACACGCACTACTAATAAACACAAAAACACTAAACCGAGAAGAATTTTATCGTTGTATGCATCACGGCACCCTGGATTGCTCACATAATAATTAAATACTTCCCGGGATCCACAATACGACCAGGATCTGTAACTTCCCTCTCCACCCCGCGCTCATCATCCCCATAATCCGAACTTGTTCCATTGTTCATTTCGTTCCTTCTTCTTCTTAAACTGCCCCCATATACATGTACTTGTGCTTGTTTATGCATAATTTGTGATTCTGTGTAGTGAAATGGGAAACCTGCTCTCTAATCAGTTCTCGCACATGGCAAGTCGATTGGACCTTTCAAGATGGACTCAAAACTTGGACAGAAGCAAAAACAACATGTCAGTCATATGGTGGATCACTAGCGACTGTGCAGACAATGGCTCAACTGACGTGTGCAAACTTGACAGTCAAGGGAACTTCGGGTGTGTGGGTAGGCTTGACTGGTACATGGACAGCCGGAGGGTGGAGTGCTTGGAACTGGGAAGTAACATCGTCGACCCGCACGACAAAGCCTCCGTGGTCATCTCAGTATAGACTTCCTTTCAATATTTCTGATCGAGCACATGGGTACTATGAGCTATATCGGGGCTTGTTGAACTTTGACAAAAACCTACCACTTCGGTATCTCTGTCAACGATATGTGCCTAAAGGTAGGTCTATATCCATTGTGTAAACTGAAGTAATATCTCTAGATGGACACCCCTCTGATGTAATTAGTCATTCCGATTACTCTTAACCCCAATTCGCTAAACGAAGATCGCGGATTTACCTGAATATTTTGTTCTGAAACAGAATTTTTTTTACCTTAATAGGGCACAGGATAATGTTCGGTGTTAGCGATTGGTAGGTTCCAGAATGTACCTATGTGGCGATTTAATACACCATTTCACTCGCACCTGAAAGCAAAGCTTCACTGTACTTGCGTCTGCCAAAATTAATGATGCTTGTAAAGTTAGAGCTCTCTTATAATGTTCATGAATGCAAACCCCACTATGTTCTTAGTAGACAAGACTGCTCGAAACTTGACTCATGCATACATGCATGTACACAAACAAGGCCGGATTAGGTAGCTCGAGGTAGAGTACTCATCGCACGACAGGGGCGAAAGGCTTTTTTGCTACAAAAGATTGAAGTTCACTATCTGTTAGTCATTCTACATTATCAACCTTCACTGACGAGATCCTGATGATCGAAACAGCTGCTGTCTGAAGGAGCAGAGTACCAACTGATGTGTCGTTTTTCTGGTGTCGTGCTGTGGCAAAGTATTGAGGTCAGTCGGAGAGCGCAGCGGTGTGGTGTGGTTCTTGATAAGAGGTTAACGAATACAGATGAGAGTAGAGGCGATACCAGGACAGTGCTACCGAGTAATCGAGGGCGATTGCGACAGTAACGCCATAACATATCAGACGTGAAGAGGGAGAGAGAAAACACCGTGAAGCCAAACCTGGTACAGGTGGCGCCATGTTGAAAAACAACTCATGTAACTGATAGTGAGTATTTTGGACAGGTAAAACTTGTTTTCGTGTCTACAATTCGATACCAGGCTCGATCCTTTGGTTGATATTGACCATTTTGTCTGCATCCAGTATCGCCAAATTGTTAGCCAGGTATAAAGTACGACGGATTTCTAGTGTGCTCCAGACGCGGTCGTGAATCAGTCAAGTGTCTAGTAAGTCGGCAGGAAGCGGGAGCTCATACAGGGGAGTAGGCAGGGGGGGGGGGGGGGTGCTTTGGGTGCCAAAGCACCCCCTCAAAAATTTCGATCTTGGTTCACAGCTGGGTCGAGAGAGACTATAGCAGACCCGCTGATCACATGCGCAACTCTGCACATCGCTCACTGTAGCCATCCCTGTTTTAGACAAGGGAGTAGTACGTGCTACTCCCTGGTTCAGACCTGCAAGTACAATGTACTATAGTACAGTCCGTATCGTCTATAAGGTTGGCGGCTATAGTAATATACCGGATATAGTGATCAATTTCTCAAATTCATTTTCATTTGCCATAACTAAGTATACACAGTTATCGCGTATAGTAATAATCGTCTATAGTAATATATCGCCTATAGTGATCAAATTCATATTTCAAAAGACCTTTATTACATTATTATTGCATCGGTTATAGTGATTGATGTAAAATCAAGTGACGGCAGAGGAGAACAGGGTGTTACTTCTTCGTGAAGAACTTGTCCAGTGAGTGTTGTTTGGTGAGTTTAGCTCGTACAAGTTGCCAAAATATGCC